GGTCTCCATGGCGAGAACGGAAGCGGGTTTGGTGTATGTTTGTACAACTACATTATCTGTTCCTTGAGCTTTAGGGGCACCTCTAACGAACCCGGCTTACATTATGGTCTGGGGTTTCACCCACCATCACAGTCTCCTCTGACAACCGCGAGTGTTGGGATGGAGACAATGCCAGCTGGCTTTAGAACGCCAACTGTTTGGGGTTTACGGTAGGTGGTATAAGGGTTTAGGGCTCTCAGGGTCTTTAGAGTTTGATGCTTTTTAGGGTTAAGGGTTTGGTGCTTTGTTCGGGCTCGGGTTCCTGTTTGGCCTGTAGAGTTGCTGTTTGGGGTACAGGTGCGGCAGATCATTCTGGCAAGTGTCCTCCGGTCCTAAAGCGATTCTGAAGCCAGAAAGGACGAGGAGTGTTCATGTAAAGTAGGGTACATCAATAAATACGTACGTACATATATGTATATATACACATATACTTATATATATATATATATGTCTTTGCTTATTCTCGAATAGAAGTATGAGAAGGAACCACAAGGATGAGTGACAAGTGTACGGGCGTCAGGCTGCACTCATCACCAACCACCATCACCACCGCTGCAATCGTCGCATCAACAATCGCCAGCACCAGCAACCAGCACAAAAACCTTGCATCGCAAGCCTAAACTCAGTAGTCGCGCCCAGGCAAGTGAGTTCTGGTTCGTTATAACACCACGGCTTGGCCTCCGAACTGCGAAGCTGAAGCGCCATTTCGAGTCCGACAGCATCCAGTACTCCCGATACCCCCCTCCTCCCCAAATTCCCTCCACATCCACATACAACCAAAACGGCGCAATCTGCAAAGATTAAACCCTAAATGTGACTAAACCGTAACCCTCGAAGCCCTAAAACTCTTGACTCTCGAAACCCTAAATCCTAACAACCCCCTAAACTCTAGACTCTATCAACCCGAATAAACCCTGCAACCCTACCCGCTTAAACTGCTATAAAGATCCCAAGAGGGGAACCGGACTCAGACTCAGTCCTTGGAGCGTAGTCCCCGCTGGCTTCGGGCATCTGCATGGCCTTTTTCGAGTGGCTTGGGTCTTCCGGGGTTCTAGAAGGGTCCGATAAGAAAAAAAGGGTTCAACGAGGGCTTCTTTATCAGTGTTCCTTACCGGGGTTTAGGATTTAAGGGTTTTCTGAGGGACGCTTTGAAGTTTCAGGGCTTCGAAAAGTGCGATGAGCCACTTCGAGGGTGCGAGGTCCTGCCACCACTATGGTTCAGAGCTTAGGGTTCAGGGTCTAACTATGGTTTAGGCTGTCGGGGCGGAACATGGGGATGTCGAAAAGGTAGCTCCTCCCTTGCCCAAGTCTCATCAGGCCATAAGCGGCTAATAACACCATCTTGCTTGAAGAATCTACAATAAAGCCGAAGCAGACCCTTGATAGACCCTTATGAAAGCTCTGTAGGATCTTCCCCTGCGCCTCGGCACCAGGTGGGGCGGGAGGAGACTCCATCCAGGCTTTATGGATTCAGGCCTCTTTTGGGGGTTGTGGGGTCTGAAAGTACAGGGGCTAGACGGGGGTCTAAGTAGCCCAAAGCCGCAGCAGAACCTGGAGTTTAAGGGTCGGCTTTGGGTTCCGGACGCTTGCTTGGGCCTTTGTGCTTCCACGCGCTGACTTCGCTAGGCTGGCTTCAGGGAGGGGTTGCGTAGGATGAAAGTCCTGGTTGGGGGGGTTCCGCAAAGCCAGCTTAAATTAGTTGGGCTTAGAAGTAGATAAAGCTATACTTCTCTGACTTTTAGCCCTGCGTCCTACGTCCCATGCTTCCTTCAAGTAGGATCTTCAGGGCTCTTGAATGAGGCTGACCAGCTCAAGGTCCTTGTCTCTCTGTGTTCCGTGCGCAGATGGCTGCATGAATGCGGCGGTCGGGCTCCAAAGCGAAATCCGACGCAACACCATTATCGCTGAAACCACTAAACCTTAAGCTCCAGGATCTACACTCTAAGCCCGCAACCATCAACAAAATGCCGGTGGAGAGAACTGTTTTGGGATGGGGTTTGAGCGTGGGGCATGATGATGGTTGTTTGTAGGCTCGGGGATGTCTCCTGCCAGACGAACCGAAACTGCCACTGTATTCTACAAGACTTTTATAAGGTCGATAAAGGTTCTCTGCGCAGGGATTGACAGGCATGCTGCAGAGATGATGTAATGAGGGCGCTTCCTACGACTTTTCATCTTAGTATGCATAGGGAGACCCATAAATGCATGAATGTGCTCGCTCTCTCTCTCTCTCTCTCTCTCTCTCTCTCTATCTATACACACATAAGTATATGTGTATGTGTGTTTTATATTTCTATGTGTGTGTGTGTGCGTGCTTGTGAATCTCTATATTTATGTAGGGAATATATGCATATATATATATAGTGTGTATATATATATATATACACATGTGTATGTGTGCTTGCTGGTCACCTAGCTCCGAAAAGCAAAGCAGCAGTGGGTCATCGTGATGGTGGCAAGCCTCCATAAAAAAAGGTGCCTTCAGGATTAACAGGATCGGCAACGGTTGGCACTTGAGACTTGAGGCGAGCAAGAGCTTTTGCAAGATCTGCCACCGTTTGCAAAGATTCTTGTGGTCTCCATCCTCCATCCCTCTCACTAAATGGCCTACAAGTGCCTTGCTGCTCCTCCGAATTCCCCACAGCTGCTTAACGACCCTGCCCGCGCCCGCAAACTTTTCTCTGTTGTCCGGCGTCGCAAATCATGCTGGTGATCAGTCAACCCATCACTAATTACAGGCGTTCGGGATCCATTGGTTGGGTGTTCAACTAGGGTCCAAGAAGCGCCTCTCTTCAGCCTCATGGCGGGTCAGGATCATTATCCAGGAGCGTGCGGGCCAACACGTGCTCCGACCTTGGGGTTTCTAACATCAGCCAAAAAAACGACCTCGGGGCCTATAGATCCAACACGCGCTGCGCTGCTCAGTGTCTTGGCCAGGGCACCGCTACCTACTGACCGGGTCTTCATGGTCCCATGCACCACAGAGATTACTGCCTGTCTTGCTCTCTTGCGACCAGACACAACAAGACTGGTGGTATTGTCGGTATTGTCATCATTACGATGAGGTGCTGCTGTTGCTGGTATTATTGCTCCTATTACTTGTGATGCTTTGCCTACTCGCTACTCCTCCCCTCCCCCTCCTCCCCCTCCTCCGCCTCCTCCGCCTCCTCCTCCTCCTCTCCACATCAACCACTGCTGAAACTGAGGCCCTGACACGGTGTGCAAGTGGTGGATGATGGGCGCGTTTCTGCCGCCGGGCAAGATCACGGGCGCGGGACTCGTTTTTCGAGGATTCATGGTTGCAGCGTAGTGAAATTTCCGATACTCTATGAATGCCAATAGTTAAAAAGTAGCACAGACCAGGTCCCATGAACCCGGAATCCCAAACAACAGCTCTTGCACAAGGAGAGTTGACGAGGGATCTCCATTACTTACCCGAAACCCGTAGTTCCAGCTCGAAGAGTAGAAGTCAGATCAAGAGCAGAACCCCCGACAAGCGGATCTTGCAATCTTGCTGAAAGACGTAAGGTAGGGGGTCCTGTCCCCGTAATCAAACCGAGGGAGCCAAAAATGCATTCATCAAGCATCCGAATATGCTCCCTAATTCATATCCTCGATTCAAGAGGCATGTTTTTTTATCAGGGGAAGGGTGTAAGCCGAACTCGGCTCCTGTCCAGAGTCAGCACCAGAGATTGACAGTTTGGAACATGCCAAGGGAGGAAAAAACAGCTGAATATAGGAAGATGACAGATGGCGTGGCCTGCCATCCCAGAACTTCATGCAGTTCTTCTGCACGGCTTCGACTGGTGATGCTTTGCCTCTGATGGATGCGTCGCGACCGCTGGGGTTTGATATGGGTGCGGCACTGCTATGTTCATGTAGCTCCTCTTCTTCTTCCCGTCGACTGCAACTGCGTACCCCTGCTACTTGCTACCGCTCCTGCTACAGCCAGCACTATCGCGACGACTTCCTCCTCATCAAGATAACGAAGACCAACATCTTCAGTACGACGATGATGAACAGCATCATCACCACCATCATGGGGTTCTTCAGCGCCATCACCGTCACCTCCACAAATATAAGCATATTGAGAATCAGCATAAGAAATTGGAGTCGTCGTCGCTGCTGTCGTCGTCGAAGCAGGTTGCACCGGCGAACAAATAAGCAAGGAAAAGGTGAACACATGACACTAGAAGGCTACCCGTGATCCCTAGACTCTACACTCTAGACATTAAAGCCTACACGGGCCTACACCCCACACCTGAAACTCGGAACCCTGAACCCGAACAAACCTACATCCGACCCATGTCTGAGCGGACCCCGGTCTTCTCGCGATTGAGGCCGAGCAGCAGTACGCTCTCGCTTCCCATTTATCCTGCATCACAGAAGGAAGGGTTTAGGGTTTAGGGATACAAACACCAAAGCGATGCTGGTAGGGGTGAAACTCGTACTCCTAGGCATGCTCATACCAGGCTCATACCAAGTTGAATCTACAAGGAATCAGTTGCAACATGATCTGTTTTCCCAAGGCAGTAGAAGCAATCTGAACAATTGAGATTTAGCATGACATCGTCGCTTGTTTGTTTTGGCACTCTGAAGCAGAGAAGTCGAATAGATACTACTGAAGATCATACAGAGGCAGTCCCTTCTGTACGAATACGAATATTAGTGTGAATTACCATCATCACAGATTGAGCAATCAGGTTTTGAGCCATCGGGAAAGCATTTCCGATATGGACGGTATGACTATTTATTCTAGTGAGGCCTAGTACTACCACTTTCGTGATCATCCTCATCACGGCAATCTTGACCGTCATGATCCTCATCATGACCATCAATATTCCGGCGTCATCATCATCACAGCTGGCCGATCCGGAAGCTACTATGATCCAGCTTTCAGGCCACAGGATCTGCTGCCAAGTGCCTAGGTTGAGAGGGCCTGCAGTTACGAATCTTCGGTCCTTGAAGGTGCGCATCTTCGCCAAGACCTGACCCATCGGCAAAGGCTTAGGGGTTTAGGGCTTAATTAGGGTTCAAGTGAAGTGGGTAAGTTTCAGACGTCGGATTTAAACTTTCAAGCCCCCCTGGCCTGTCGTACTTCACGTCAAAAGAGGTCTCCAAAGTATAGTGCTGTGGCTTTTTAAGGCTTATTACATCCACTCGAGCACCATGAGTTTTGCTCCAGCAGTAGCTTTCCCCATGCAGCAGGCTAAAGCATGTCAAACCCTAAATGTGGACTTTTTAGACCGAATCCCAACTGCAAAATCAGAACTGTAAAATGGAGGTAGTGAGTTCGATGTTGCAGTCCGACCTGCATCCGTAGCCTAAATACAGAAGAATGCTGAAGCTAAGGAAAGACGGCGCTTTCGAGATCTTCTTCTGCAAAGGGCCACGTACCCCATAGGTGCTACCCCCGGCCGAGAGAAGTGCCGAGCCTTTGTGTCCAAGCATTCAAGACACAATGCTTCGACCCGAAACCGCCGAGCAGCAACGAAACCCAAGCCTGAAACTAGAAAGTCTGTAACAAGTGGCTTAGGGTTTGGGGCTCAGGATATGATATAACTCTCAATCGCAAGCAAAGCCTTTATCCACCTCCATTTCCAACCTCACCGCAGGGTCTACGTAGCCCCCAACCCAGGTCCCAAGAAGCCCCAAAAAAAAACATTTGGCACCTCAATGGCCCCAAGCTCACCTTTCTCCGACCTTCCGACTTACGAGGCTCAGGGCAGATCAAGGGCCAATGGGGGCTCTAGAAGTAGAGTAGGGTAGGGGGGGGGGGGTATGATTGAACTATAGAGGGGGCTAGAAGCTCATCTAGGCCCTTACGCTGCTTTTACCAGGGTCTTTTCGGGATCAGGGTACTTGAAGTCTTGAAGTGTAGAACCAGTTGCTGCTGCTGGGGGGATCGGACAGTGAACAGATTACGAAAATGGACAGGGTACAGAGGTACACATCTCCGAAAGCCCTAGACCCTAAGCCCTGCATGTAAACTCCAAACCTTAAGCCCCAAAAGACATACTTGAGCTTTTCCTTAGCGCTAGCCAAACGCTCTGCGTTTAAAGCTCTCGGCAGCGATGTGTTTGCTGTGAGATGGAGGAGTGGGGTTCCTGGGTGTAGGGTTCCTGGGTGTACGGTGCCGTTGGGGTGCTGGCGTTTTTTGGGGCATAGGCTTGGAGGCAGTTGCAGTATTAGGGCTTATGGTGTGGATCAAGGCTTAGTTCAGAGTTTAGGAGTTGTTTCCAGGCAGAGCAAGATTGGCGCTTTGCAACTTGCAGAAACGTCATATGTGGTACTGTAGAACCGGCAACATCGCGCCAACGTCCGCAAAGTCAAATCCTGCACCCTGAATCCTAAACCTGATCGCGCGAGCCTTATTCCCCAAAGCCAGCAGATCCTAAGCCCAAATAATCCGAAATCCATCTCGGGATCCTCGCGGAGTCCCGAACCCTTGAGCCCGGCTTTGGGGTTCGGCGTCCAGTGTTTCAGAGTTTTTCGGTTTAAAATCGGAGCCTGAGAAACTGGACTGGGCTTTGAGTTGAAAACGCGCGGAGAGATTCAAAGCCCTATACCTTCTAAAGCCCTGAAAAGCCTCATGGAGACCCTACAACCCTAAAGAGTCCTTGCCAAAAACCCCTGTCTAAACCAGGACCTGAAGGTCTAAGGCTGTCTCTTCGTCTTGGGCTTCAAGGTTTCGGTTTTCAGGTTTCGGGTTGAGGGCTTCGAGTTTCGGGTTTGGGGTTGGTTGGCGTACAGGCTTCAGACCTCGGAGTGTGCAGAGCCCGCGACCCTCAACCCCAACGCAAAAGACACCAAGACTCAAATCCTGCAACTGCCAACTTCAGCATCCCAATGTTCACACCTACCTCCATCTTTAGCCCAGTGGCTCCCCGTTCAGGGGATTCTGCTGCATCTCCCAGCAGCCCAATGGGTAGGCCTTCAGAATGTCATCTCTGATGCTAGCTCTTCCTTCAATCTTCCAAGCTTCGCCGCACAGTCCTGTCGATCATCATGCTGGTAATGATCGGCTTGATTTCTCGTGCTGTCGAAAACTACGACCACACAACATCACACCACAACAAAACATCGCACAATGTAACATAACATGACACAACGTAAGAAGGCATAACACAACACCACATAGCATATCATAGCGTAACATAACACAATACATCATAATGCCATAAAAAGCATATAACATAACATAGCATGACATAACACAACATAATGCAGTAACACAACAACATAACATAACATGGCATAAAATAACAAAACATAGATATAGCATAACATAACATAACGTGCCCAAGCAACAACACGTCATGTAGCATCAACCCAAGCACCGAACGCTAACCTCTTCTCCCGAGACCCCGAGCCTATACCCATAAATCACAAGCAGCTGCTCTCATCCGACCTTTCCCCGACGATTCCGGGAGGGCTGGCCACAGCCCGAGGCCCCAGGAAACGCCACCTGCGCCATAATTGAGGAACCGTTATTTTGGCCGAGTGGTTGTAGTAGCAATAGCAGCAGCAGCAGCAGCAACAGCAGCAGGCCCTAAGCCCTAAACTCAAAAGCCCCAAGACTGGAACCCCAGAAGGGACTGCAGGTGAAGCACGAGAGACGTTATACATATTCCTACTTCTCTACAAAAAAATATGTATACATATATATATATATACACACACACATACACATACCCACATACACACATACCCACCCAACCAACCAACCACCGCACCCACCCCACCACCCCACCGCACCCCACCCCAGACAAACTCAAAACGAACGAAACGGCAGAAGGAGAATTTGGATGGCTCCGGCCCGGGCCATCTCAGACAATCTGAAAACGAACGAAAAGGCAAAAGGAGAATTCGGATGGCTCCGGCCCGGACCATCTTAGACATACTGAATACCAACGGAACGGCAGAAGGAGAATTCGGATGGCTCCGGACCAGACCCTCTTAGACAATCTGAAAAAGAACGAAAAGGCTGAAGAGGAAGTACTCGGCTGGCTCCGGCCCAGAACATCTAGACTAACTGAAAACAAACGAAAAGGCAGAAGGAGAATTCGGATGGCTCCGGCCCGAGCCATCTTGAACAAACTCAAAACGAACGAACAGGCAGAAGGAGAATTCGGATGGCTCCGGCCCGGACCATCTTAGACAAAATGAAAACTAACGAAAAGCCAGAAAGAGAATTCGGATGGCTCCGGCATGCGCCATCTCAGACAAACTGAAGCCGGGTCATCTTAGACCAACTGAAAACGAACGAAACGGCAGAAGGAGACTTCGGATGGCTCCGGCCCGGACCATCTCAGACAAACTCAACACGAACGAAACGGCAGAAGAAGAAGAAGTATTCGGCTGGCTCCGGCCCGGACTATCATAGACAAACTGAAATCGAACGAAAAAACAGAAGGAGAATTCGGATGGCTTCGGCCCGGGCCATCTTAGACAAACTCAAAACGAACGAAGAGGCAGAAGGAGAATTTGGATAGCTCCGGCCCGGGCCATCTCAGACAAACAGACAAAGTGAACACGAACGAACAGGCAGAAGGAGAATTCGGATGGCTTCGGCCCGGGCCATCTTAGACAAACTGAAAACGAACGAAAAGGTAAAAGGAGAATTCGGATGGCTCCGGCCCGGACCATCTTAGACAAAGCGAAAACGAACGAACAGGCAGAAGGGCAGAAGGAAAATTCTCTGATTTAAGACCTAGGCACCAGGCCTAACCTGTCCTAAACTCCTCGACTCCCACGCCCCCAACCCCCAAACCTGAGCAAGGCCCCGGCTACAAAAAGCAGAACACCGGCGCGCCTTCTGTTGCAGGAAAGGCCTGGATAGGTTCGTGGGGGATTTGGGATGAAGGCCGATTTCTGCGTTCGGTGCCGGGATGCCGAAAGAAGCCTTCGGGGAGATGTGATCTTACGCCGGTAGGATTTCTATATTTGAAGGATGGCTGATGGCGAAAGCAATACCGCCAACTACAGTAATTCAGGCTGTCTTTAGATGCCGGGACTTGGAAAGTGCGAGAACTCAGCATCATCCCACGATTTGCTCATTCGCTATGCAACCCCATCTGAGGAGTTACAACTCCTTAGCTTCAAGGGTGCATGAAATTGCACAAACCCCCAGGCACGAAATCCAATACCTGTCATGCAAGTTGCAGGATGTTCATCGCCAAGGCTGGATAGATGATGTCCTGCAGGGTTTAGACCCTCGAAGCAAAGTTTCTGGTCTGGGGTTTGGGGGTACCACCTGCTGAATCTTGGACGGCATACATCGACAGTGCCTTCGGGAATGCAAAGCAAAACAGAGGTTCAGAACGAAGCTTGCGTCGGCTTGCACTAGCGATTAATCCTGGCCCAAAACCTCCTTAGTTCGACCACGGCATGAAACCTACTGCAAACCCGACGTAGTCACACAGTCATGCAGTCCTACGTATCTCCCCCACTCGGATTGGGCTTGGTGCAATTGGATTCCTGGTATCCAAAACTTGTGACTTCATTCTGGAGCTCAAGGCGTTTGAGATCCAACGGCAGTGCTGCCAAAAGGAAGCCTAATCGTGGCTTAGGCACAACGGAGCTCAAAACGGTCTCAATTGAGACACTACGCAGCTGCTATATCGCAGCGTCAGATTTGGCTGGTCGCTTGGGTGTCGTGTCAAGTGCAGGACTTTAAAGATCTACAGGTGCTAGATGCTTCAAGGAATGAAGGTTAAAGATACTCCTGAATTGCAAAAACATGCTGCAAAATGGATCCGACAATTCCAACATAACCCGCAACAGCCCGTCCTGCGAGCAGGAGTCAGGCCATTCAAAGCGGTTCTTCATGAACCTGTCTCTGGCATCATGAACCAAGCCAAAAATCGTAAACGAAACACCGAAATCCAAGCCTGAATCATCAATCCTAAGCACGAATACAACCACCCTGAGCCTTGAGCCCTAAACCCTGGTTCCGAACTCCAGTACCCCAAACACCCAAAAGCATGAAGCTGGCAAAGTCTTCAGCATTGCAGGCACGGCGCAGCGGACAACCGACCGCACGGCCTTGTTTGCCTGGCCCGAGGCTCATGCAGGCTTCTTCTTTGACTGGGTCCTGACGTATAAACTAGGGAAGACATCGACTTATTGCTGGCTGGATATGATTCGGCCAATCCTGCACCCATCGAAATGATGATGATGACGACGATGAATATGAAGATGAAGAAGAGGATGATGATCGTGGTGATGATGATGGTGATGGTGACCGCGATGATGGTGATGGTGATGATGATGATGGTGATGCCGGTGGTGGCTGCATCATCATCATCATCATCATCAGTCTAACTGGGGGCACTAGCAGCATGAGCGAAGGTCCTGATGATGCCAACAGACATTGCATGCCGAGCCAGGCTAATTCATTTCCGAGTGGCTGTCCCCCTCGCTGGAGGACGCAACACGGCCAAGCTGAGGCCAGTTGGTCCGGAGCGCCTTCACAGAAGAACAAGCCTCTCAAACCCTAAGCCCCAAAAGAAACTCTTGATGAATCCCACTGCTCCAAAACACCAACACAGTCAACCACAACTGAAGGTTGGTCTGTGGCCGAAGACTTAATAGGATCTTGTTGCTTCTTTGACCGTCTTTGTGTCTGCAGGGCTTTGCAAGGCTTGGAACTTGTGATAGGTTTGATAGGTGTTATAACTGTGAGTGTTTCCATCTCATCCGCGTCGAAACCCTGAGTTTCAACGGCCACACAATTAGAGCCTTCAACCCAGGTATGAAAGTCTGCTTCACGAAAGCCACAAGGTATCCTGAGTTTTGCTAGTCCTGGAAAGGAAGAACTCTGGTGCATCCTGGCCGCAATGAACCTTTTGCATGGGCTCTGGGCACCGGGAAACTTGATTTGAGACCCTGGCGAGGGAGCAATGAGCAATAGGGAGGCTCTCGGGTACTTCCTGACAGCCTTTCTGCCCCGCCCTCCAACAAAACCTATACCCACCAAACCCTCGCTGAATCAACTCGGTCCTTGATGCTGCGAGGCACAGAAACCGCCAGTCTGAATCCTGACCCTGGAACCCGAAACCATGAACTTGAACCAAACCCTCAGCCCTAAACCCCAAAGCCATAACAGCCACTAAAGACCACACCCTGATCCACCCCAGGCGCCTGCACAAACTTGCGGTTGAAAACAAAAGCGTTGCCCCACCTCTGAGGTCTGAGCCCCGGGTCTTGGAGTTGAGGGTTTAGAGTTCAGGGTTTGGGGTCTAAGGTTTAAGGCTTCGGGTGAGTTTAGGGCTTAGGGAGTTAAGGTTTTGGGGGTCTGCGCGAGTACAAGTGCTATTCTACTACCGAAATCTTCCTTTCCTCATCATCACCATCATCTTCGTCGCCATCATCATCACGATGATCTCCCTCCTGTGAAGCCGCAAAGAGATTCTGAGCCCTTATCCCTCAATCCAAAGCCTCAAATCTTAAAGCGCAGAACTCCTGAAGCCCAAAGCCGAACAGCTGATGAAGTCCCAAACTCCCCCCAACCCCAAATCCTCACCCCAAATCAAGCCCTAATTCCCAAAGCCGGAAAGCTCCTCGCCTGAATCGACCCGGGACCCCACATGCAAAGCAAAGGCGCATGAGCATGATTGGGCCCGACAGCCCGGACTTGTCTTCTTTGGACCCGTCCTGGATCAATCGCTTTAGGGCCTTGGGGGGTTAAGGGTTGGAGGGGTTTTTATAGAGCATTAGAAGTGGTTGGGTTGACGATTTGGGGTTTCGGAATTCCTTCAAGACGCAAGTTGACCAAACCCACGGCGGGCGGACTCCCGTCCAAGTGCGTGCGCTCGACAGTCTGCGACAACACATGTCAGCCAAGCCGACAATCCCGGCTGCAAGACAATTAGAACTCTGGTGAATCCCGCAATCTAAAACTCCAAAACGCCCTCAAACCCCTTGCGTCGCCTAATTAGACCCCACTGCAGCCAAGATCAAGGTCTGAATTCTTTGAAGCAATATCCCCCTGTAGCCTCAGTTTTGTTTTACTGGCAGATAGATGCCCAAATACCTTGATCAAAGGTTTGAGGCTTCGGCCTCAAGGCCTTGAAGGTACTCTCGAATCGTCTCCTGTGGCCAGGAGGGGGGTTTGGCCGGGAGCACACATGGCCTTACAACAAGGGCTTTCAGGTGGGGTTTGGGATTTAGGGCGTAGGCATCTCCGATGGTTTCAAGCCGTTCGTCCGGTTGCTTAGATTTCCAGGGTGGCCTGTTGCAGGTTTGAAGTGAAAAATGTTGTTGGCATGTCGATTCCTCGCCAAAGCCCTATAGTACATGGTCCATTTTCTGGGGGGAAGGAACGGGCAGCGGTGCGTCTCACAATTTTGGTTGGAATTCGGTTGTCCGCAGTGTTTCGCGGTCCCGCAATTTACAATGCGACCGGCTGTGGCTGCAGGGCGGGTGTCTCGAGGTTCAGAGAGTGGGAATGGTAGCCCCCCAAGCACGGCTGATGCAGAAGATGGAGCAGGGCGAGAGACTCCTCCGTCGATAAACTCCCTAAACCCTGAAGCCATGAACTCAACCCACAGCCGTCCATCCCATGACCCCAGTCGGAGGGACCACAGGCAGGGACATGAGTCGGGCATCTGTAGGTGACATCACATCATAGGTATGGATAAGAACAGTTGAAGAGCCGCTCTGTGAAGTGAGGTGAGCAGTGACTGTCGAAGGGTACTTTCGGATGCAAGCTTTACCGATGAAGGCCACCCGAAGCCGTCTACAATCTCCGGGTGCATCCTCCACCTTTCACCTGTGTAAACCATTGACATGCCCGGTGCCTTCGCTCTCGAAGGGGAGAGGAAGTGATCTAACTCAGAGTTGAGCAGCCAATCCTCGAAGAGCTACAGGTGCTTTATGTTTTGGATCTTGAGGCTGAGAGGGTTCAAAATCTGCTGTCATTCAGTTGTGCTACTCGTTCCTGCTGATTTAATGCTTCAGTCTGTTGCAGCGCTCTGCCTGAGGTGCTGGGGCTTCGAACTTAGTTTTCGGGCAGACTCTGGAAGTGCGGAGCCTTCGCTGGTCAAAAATCTTGAAGCCTGAATGATTAGGAAGGGGTTGTGCAGGTCTCTGCGAAAGAGCCCTACTAACCATTCAGGCCTCAGAAACCATTGGCTGGCTGACGCGTCCTATCCCCCAAAGTTTAGAAAAAGCTTACCGAGATCGAGTCATCTGGTCTTCCTTGACTAAACACTAGGGGCCTTAGTAGTTTGAATAAGTTCTTGGGATATGCTATAGTATGAGAAAAAAATATATATATATACTCAGAACCCACAGGAAGAGTCTTGTCTGTTATTCAGGACAGTGAGACTGATGTCCAAAACCGCAGAACCTTCGAACTGAAACCTAACCTCAAACCCTAACCCGTTCAACCCTGTTCCCCCCTTCCCCGTACACCCCGCACCCCTGAACCCTACACCCGAGCGGCAAGACCGAAACATCGGCTGAGGAATGCAAGGGTGTAGGGTTTAGGGTTTCGCGGTTTCGGAGTCCGGCGCCAAGATTACGCATGTATGTCATTTTTGGCCCCTTAGGCATTGAAGCCCAAAACCCTACCCCGCAAAGTAGCGAAGCGCTCGGCGATTCCGGAGCGGAGCAAATGATCCCAGGAAGGCATCAACCCGGCCATGTTCCGGTGGTAGAGCCTCAGGTGTGGAGTGTAGCGTTGGGCTTAGGGTTCCTGTTTCTTGTTGTTCGGGGCCTTGGTGCTGGGGCTAGGTGCGTTGGATGTTGCCGATAAAGATGTCACATGGCGAGAACATATAGAATATTCGGCGACGTCGTCATAATGACGATGGTTTTGATGATGATGATGATGATGGTGATGAAGACAGCATAAACTTTCATGATACTGAGGACGACAGCCATGATGAGTCATGATGGTGACACTGACAAAAGTAACAAACAAGATAATAATATGATTGTGATAACTGCAATGATAATGACATTTATATTGCGAGTGCTGTTGCTGACTCTGTTGGTGATATTGCGAGTGCTGTTGCTGACTCTGTTGGTGATAGCTCATAAGCTTGAGTGATAGCGATAGTCCTCATGGCACTGATAACAGCATTGCTAACGAAAGTAAACAACTGACCAATAATGATATTCAACAAAACTTGCGAATAAATAGCAACAACGACAGCGATATAGATAATAGCACAATCAAAACCAATGCCAATAAAAAACACGCCATGAGCAATAGTACTGACGATCTGATGCCACAGTGTAGAACTACTAAAGATAGCTCCAATGACAGCACTAGCAGTAAACAAGACTATTCACAAGAAGAGCTAATAGACCCAATGACAACAGCATCATCATCATCATCATCAGGATCAGGGTTTAGGGCCGCGTGGGGTGTCGGGTTCTGATGTTATTGCTTTGGCTGTTGTTCACCTAAGAATCGGCCTCATGGCTTTTGGGTTTTCGGGGCTTCGGGCCCTGGGAGGCTAGGGGTTCCGATTGAGGGTGCTGCTCCTGGGTTGGGTTCCGGTTTAGTGGTGCAGAGCTGCTCTACAACCCTGAGGCCCGAACTGAAAAGCCAAAGCATGAAGAAGCCCGAAACCGAACGCACTGAACCTCTTAAGGAAGACCTGGTCTCTCCCATCGGTTTAAGGTTTAGGGTTTCGGACTTTCGGAAGCCGCAAAAATGAAGTTGGAGGCCCCTCACACGCTAACCTCCCTGAGAGCCCCGAGCCTGCTGCCCTAAGTCCCTAGAAATCTGGTTACAATCCCCGCAAGACTCCAAAACGAGGACTCCAAAGCAGCATGGCCTAATCTAAAGGCATAAATATTTTGAAGAGGATGCCGGGGTACACTAGTATGTCAGCATCTAGCGACTATAACGGGATACTATCACTAACTTCTCAGACCTCCATATTGATGAAGCTCTACCCCTCCAAATAAATAGAATGCAGAAACCCTGCGCTGAGGGATTCACCATTGCCCGTGTGTCCGTTCCCTGGAGCACGCTCAATGGCGGGGCTTTGGGATACGGGGATAGGGTGTATGTTTATACCTCAACACTTGTGGATGTTGGAATCTCAGCTTTGAATCTGGGTGTTGGCTTTGGGATTCGGGCATCAGGGTTTGCAGCTTGAGGACTCATCCGCATTTATGGGTCTAGGGCTTGCTTCTGCGCGCGCATTCAAGGTTCAAGGAAACCAAGACTAACAGGAACAACTGGCAGAGGCAATCCCAATAATCATCGCACTAGCGCAATTCAGACTTCATCATGTCGATTCATCAGTACCCGAAAACAAGACTCCCGAGTCCATCTCTCGGAAGTTGTTACGTTTCTATATATTGATCCGAAAGCCTCCGGCCCAAGCCCTGAACACGAAACCCAAAGGCCCTGAAGGCTAAAACCAAAACACCCCAAACCCAAAAGCCCCAAAAAATCCCCAAGGGCCCTCAACCCAAATGCAATGCAGAGGAGCGGCACGCGCTGCTTTGGCACCTGGACTCGGACAAAGTCTTCTTCGTCCTCTTTCACGGGACTCTCGGTGTCCGTGAAGAAGAGGTGGCCTGGTGTGACTTGGAGTGTAGAGGGCGAGACGTGTGTTAATAATAACAGACTATAATATACTCAGTACTCTCATGCTAAATAACAATATGATGTATAATACGAGATTCATGAAGATCGGCGGGAGTGGTTCTGACGGCTTCCGTTGCGGAGGTTCAAGGTTGTGATGCAAAGAAACAGTAACACTGAGGGTCAGGCCGTCGCACTTTTTGTACTGCCTCCGGACCTGTGGAAGTGGGGAAGACTTGACATGATTCTTGCTGCTGAGGAAACAGAAAGGCGCTGGCAACTTGGCTCTGCCGAAAGAAGCGATGATGACGACGCTCACGACAACAATGATGACGATGCTGATGATGGCAGTGGTGACAATGATACCGATGATCATGATAGACATGATGATGACGATGACTGCGATGGTGATGCTTTTGTTCACGAGAGCTCTGACTGAATCGAGTTCGGAGCTCTTCCATGTGTACGGGTGTGTGTAGTTTAGGTCGGGTCTGAGAGACCTCGCCTTGTGCTTCAGTAAAGCCTGAGGCAACACACCTGTAGACCTTTTCTTAGTTGCATTTCAGCGGAAGTGGCAGCTGCTGCAGTGTTCACGAGAGCAGCAAAAAGAGTTGTAGGGGGTGGGGGGCGACGGGTCATGTTTATTCCTGCCAAGGTCAGACGGATTTCCTGTACCTTCTGAATGTCTAGTTTTCACGACAAGAATAGCCAGAATCGTCCCAATGAGCATAAGCACAGCGGCTTGCGCTTGACGTGAGGAGGACTTTCGTGGGTTACAGCGTAGGTGGAGTTCAGAGTTTAGGATTGAGGGTCCATCTTGAAGGCCTCGTTGAGCATGCCCTCGTCGTTCTTCCGGCGTGGTGACCAGGCGAAGCAGAAGAGGGTCCTTAGGAACGAGGCGCAAACTTAGTCCTCTGTTAGCACTTTCGGGACTGGCACACTCCTGCCTGCACTATTGAAACCACGGACCCGGCTGCTCGTCCAACCAGTCTTCATGACACTTTCTCGGTCCGAATGTTTCGTACTGTACATCTGTTGTGTGCATCTCCACTCGTGACGGTAACCAGATGCAAGCCCTCTCGATGGCCACGTGGCATACCGGCATCGGCACCGTGATCGATGACCGCAGGGGGGACCACTTCTATGGGAGGTACCGGCGCAGGCGTGGGCATTGGCACCTCGCTGGATAGCTGAAGGTCTTAAAAATCACGTGATTAGAAGTCATACGACGATGATGAACATCATCAGCGTCACCATCACCGTCGTCATGAATGTAGCCATTTATGATTCTCATCGTTCTCATTGAGAACCTTCTTCCCGCAATCGCAATCGAGGGTGGGCTCGAAGTGATGAACTACCGGAAGCAAGCCTTCGGGGTTGAGAGGGCTGGCTACCGTGGTGCTTGCCGTTAGCACAAAACGTTCGGCTCTTGATGCGGGGAGCGGGTAAAGGTAAAATCGGCAATGATGGCAATCTCCACAAATGTCAACGAGGCACTGATGCCGCCGGTGGTGAGGCCTGTGTAGGTGGTGCTGGTGCAGATGGCAGGGCTGCTGGAGGTGTGCCGGGCTCGCTGCCCTCATGGTCCAGCAGCTTCCGCGCCTTGGCGTGGGTTTGGGGCTGGGGTTTGTGTGCAGGGTTCTCGGTTTCATGGCCTGTCGGGGTTTTAGGATTTGGAGGGTTGGGTTTAGAGGCGTGGAGAGTTTGGGGGTGTTGGTGTTGGGCAGAGAGTTGAAACACTCGCGTGCTGCTTTCCTCTCAAAGCCACCATGAACCAAATCTCAAGTCAAAGCTGCAAATCACCCCCGCTGCAATCTGAATAATGCGGCGCCCCCGAATACCCGAAGCATCAGCACAGCAGCCTGTGGTGCTTCAAGTTGCCGCTGCTACAACCGCATTCGGGATTTTTCAGGAACAGGGGGAACCCGAAATACAAGCAGAGAGGGATCCTGACAATACAGTAACTACGGCACTCCTCATATTCCGAAACCCCACTCGGCTCCCCCACCAGCTCGTGGATTGCCACGTTGTTGACATGGTGTATCACAGCGACATGCCCTGAGTCTTTGGGGGTCTGGGGCTTGAGACCTCGCGTTTGAGGCGAGGACTCTCAAGCTAGGCTGACGACGATAAACACTACTCGAATTGCTCTGCTAAGTTCACTATGACACATGTTATGACAACTTGCATTTGACGAGTACTGCCGGTTATCCAAGACTCGCAACCCCGCTGTGCGAAACCACTGAGCAAACAACTAAGGTCGGGGCTTCCATCGTAGAACTTCCTGCCTGAATCGAGGTGCAGCTAAGGGCTGCAAGTTCTGGGTTTGTGTATTTCAAAATTAAAACTTGTCTGCTCTTTTTCTGCACTGCTGGTAGATCGAGTCTGGGGGTGCATACTAGAGTTCATCAATTTCGGTTCGTGAACAAGGCCTATGAATTCTGAGAGACTCTATGATACCACTCTCTTGCAAAAGCTTCGGACCCCCCCCCAATCAGACTGACACCCAGAATCTAAACAGCGAAAGCTGAGCTCTCAACCCCCCAAACCCTACACCCTCATAAACAGGGACAACGTAATCAGTAAGACTCAGTAAGAGCAGGCGACTGCGCGGTCAAGGGGCAGTTCTTCACCACAGCGTCGCTGTGATGGTTGGCACAGTAGTTCGTCACAGTCACCTCGTCGCCGGCATCTCGGTCTAGGGGTTACCTTTGTGCCGGGTTACGGTTTATGATTGCGGGGCGTTTGCTCTCAGGCTCTCCCTGAACTCTATGTGGTACATACTAAGATGGGGAGGGCCGCGATCAACAGCTTGGAGAGGATCCCAGTGTTTCAGGCCCTCCAAGGATCAATTGCCGGCAACAGCGCGAAGGCATGCAGCTCTAGAGCTCTGCTTGGGCCCTAAACCCTAAACCCTTGAGATGAAGAAGATCAGGACTTGGGCGTCAGAAGCATGTCAACTTGCATTGGGTGGCGCGGCTCTCTGTGTCAACCGTCTGCTGAAGGTATAATTACATTAACATCAACCCCCTCGATCCTAATCCCCCAAAGATCCCCCTACCCTACATAGGCCCGAAGTACCTGGACCAGGAGCTTCTGAACAGGCCTTGCACAGGGTTTAATGTAGGGGCCTTAATAATTAGGATAGGGTCTTGGGCTCCTTTGATCAAGAACCCTAAGGAACAAGATGGGCAATTATCTAGGCCTCTTTGTTAGGTTGCGAGGATCAAGGGCCTTGCTCTTGCCGGGTGCCATACTCGAACACAAATTCAAGCTCCCATGGCTGGTACCTCCCCCCCCAAAGGAAGAGCTTTTTCATCTTGCCGATTTCCAGGTTTGGCGGACATGCGATAGACAGGGGATGAAAGGTGCTGAACCCTTTCCATTCCATCTCGAAGCAATGCCATGGAGACTAAGAGGTGATCTTGCACCAAACCGACAATCGACAAGGCACGGTGCCCTTCATAGTGTAGACTATAATCCATATAAACTGAAGAACTCATAGAAAGGCGGTCTACTAGTCAGGCATCTACACACGTCCTGATGACTAACCACTCCAAAGACGAAGCTACTCTACGCCAACCATCTGGGACAGGAGTCAAGCTGTGCGTGCAGCTGCCTGAACAGCGCCCAAGTACCATCAAGTCACCTCTTGCAAGGATCATACGGATCTATATTGAAAGCTAGCCCCAAACTCAGAAGCCTCTAAAATATTAACTTCAATGTCGTCTGGTGCCAGAAGATCCCTTTGTACCATGGCTGCTCCATGCCGCCGAGCTGGCTGAGAACCGACATTTTCCGGTTTAGGGGGCTTGAGGGCGGTTAAGGGCTGCGCATTTGGTGTTTAACGTTTCTAGCTGAGGATTAGAGTGTCGGGAGGGGCCGGATGTTGTGGATGCAGCACGGCTAGAGCAAGATGTGGAGTAACATCCGGCGCATGCAAGGGAACAATCTGGACAGTCGTTTCGGCCCTCCGTCACTGACATTTGCCAGGAGGAGCAGTGTTGTCGTCGTCGCTGTTGTTAGAACCTCCCGGCTTCGTGTCCGACAAGATGCCCCAAGTGAGTCCGTGTCGCATCAACTCGCGTTTTAGGCAGCAAGCATCGGCCCACGACTACTCAGACTAGCGCTCGCGACCTATAGGCCTAAAGAATTTCGTCATGCCCACTCCATGACGCAGCAAACTGAAAACCCTAAACGCGAACCCTGACACAGACGGTCCTAGCAAAGCTGCGATCCTGTACAAAAAATCATCGCAGCGAGTTGTAACTTCTTTTCGAAGCACGGAGCTTAAAGTGCTCCGGTATAATGTCTAGGGTGTGGGGCTTTGGGCCTTTGGGCTCTGGGGTCTAAGGTTTGGGGTTTAGGGTTTAGGATTTAGGGTTTAAGGATGAGGTTATAGGGTTTGCAGGGTTTAGGGCCTATTAGGGTATCAGGCTAGAGGGCTTTGGGGTTTAAGGTGTGCAGGTTAGGGTTTGCAGGTTCGGGGTCTAGGATTTACGGTTGTCAGCTCTGGGGTTCAGGGAGCGGAGTTGGATATCTGCCGGGATGCACCTTAGGCCGCCGGGTTCTGCTGGCAGACACATGCAAATGTGTGCAAGGAACGATGTCAGCACAGCTTTCAGTGATGCCGGCCAAGTGCTACGACGTACGTTGTCGGGCCTAAGGTTATCGCATTGCTGCAGAAACGCCGCCACGCGACGCTACTGGACTAGTTGGCTAGCTAGTGCTACCCTATACCTAGAGAAAAGAGTTTAGGGGCAGGGTTCATAAGCATCCGGATTCGTCACCGTGCTGAGCTCACATTCTACCGAAGGCATCGCCGCCTCTGGCGTCGACGTCAGCGTATCCAAAACGCTTGGCTTCAAAACCTCTGAAGTCGCGAGCTAGTTTGCGCTCAAGTCCTGAAACCTGCAAACCCATGCTCCAGATCCTCAAACCTCAATCCCTCTGCCAAAAGGCTACAGGCGCTTCAGTTATTCGGCAATCGAAGTGCAGCTGGCGTCCTAAAAATTCAGTCCAGCGTGACTGCCTTCGACGCCGTTCAACATAAAGAGTTTTGCAAAAACTTGTTCTGACTCGAAGCCGCTGCTTCCTTGCAAAAGGCCCAAGTGAGCCAACTCTCAGAGCGTGCGGAGGGTGCGCAGGGGCTCACGGGCCTGCATTGCTTGTTGAGATTTGAAGCCTTCGAAGCCTGTGAGGGCCACCTGCTTCGGCGTTCCGAGCCGACAAGTTAGTGGAACAGAAGAGAATGAAACAGGCTAGACTGGACTGGACTGGGCTCTAATAGAGGAGACCCTAGTCCAAAAAGGATAGAATATTGAATAATAACCCTATAAAGCCCTAAACTCCCTAAACCCTTGAACATGGCCATAAGATAATAGCACATAGTATGTTTGAATTTAGGGCTTGGGTGAAGTTGGACAGCCAAGCGGCCGGAGGCTCGGTCTTTTGAGATTTTCAAGGTCTGCTGTAATCCGGGCTCGGGGTAATTTAGGGTTTAGGGGTTTCGGGGTTTAGGGTCTAGGGCTTTAGGATTTTAGGGTTTAGAGTTTAGGGTTTGGGGGGTAGTTTTGAAGGCTTGAGGGACTGAAGAATGCAATCATCTGGCAATAGGCCTTACGGAAAATAACCCCTTCCGCCTATCAGAAACTTTTTGCTCACTAAAGAGTACGGCGATATAGCCTAAATCCATAGCCTAACGACGGGAGCTTCGTTTGAATTTTTTGTCGGATTTCGTTCTTTCACTAGCGCCATGTAAAGCTCCAACTCGGAAGATCATCCCACCTTTGGTCGATGCGACGTCCCGGCCGCGGTTGGCGATTTCGGAGCTATTGCCTGCTCAGAGACAGCGCCCCTCTCCCAGTCTAGGTTCCATAATCATGACCCTGATACAGTATTTCGGGGTTCTGAACCAGGCTCCTACATTCAAAGAGAGACAGAGACAGAGCGAGGTGAGGGAGGGGAGAGAGAGCTAGAGAAAAAGAACGAGAGAGAGGCAGAGAGAGGCCCCCTGGTCCGAAAGGTTGGCCTCCCTGGTACTCTCGCCGTGATATCCAGCGGCCGGCAGCCCCACAGGCCCTATCTCCTGACCAGGCGGTTTGCATAAACTTGGAGGAGGCTGGTTTGGCGCGGGGTCCATGCAATTAAAAGACGATCCCACCCCTACACCCGAATAACCCAAATAACCACAAAGCCCTCATAAACCCAGAACCCTACCAAACCCTAGGCCGTAAGCCCTACTAAACCTGACACTCTGATGAACCCGACACCCCGAAAAAGCAAATCCAAGTAAGCCCTAAACGTTACCGAACCCTCCCTTAAGCTTACTAGCCCAAAGCCCGAAATCAACATACGCCAGTGTAGCTAGCCCCTGAAAACGCAGTCTTCTTATTCTTCTCAGTGTGGCCAACATCATCAACATTTTCCTAGGAAGTGGCATATGAATACTTAAGCACTCTTAGGGAGAGCCCAGAACTCCACTAAATCCTAAACCTCACACCCCAAGCCCTGAAACCCTACACCAAACCCTAAACCCTGAACCCGGATTGAACCTCGAGCGGGCTTGCGTCTGCTAACCCGCAGAGCGCATTGCCCTCGGGATTTTGCCGTGCTACCTGCTCTGTCAGTCATCGTCCGGGGTGTAGGTTTGTCACCAGGTTTTAGGGTTTTGGGGCGTTGAGGCCTTGTTCGAACATCGGCGTTAAGAAGTTTGCTTAGGACGAGGTGGGATTGGAAATTGACTGGCACAGTATATAAGTAATCAGGCAGACATGAAAAGGGTGTGTGTGTGTGTGTACCGAGGGGTCCATGCAAGTCAAGAATCCACAAGACATGTCCCATGATATGTCTCTCCCACTCGTCCTACCCGATGGTACACCTCAAACCGGAAAAAATCTTTCAGGAAACCCTAAACTCTTAACCTTTGTCCCTGGCCGACCTTGACAAAGCAGTGCCCTTACACCCTTGAATCTGTTCGGCCCTTAATCCGAAGCCCATGCTTGCAAGTCCCAGACCACAAGACTACAAGAGACTCCAGAAGGCTCATCAAGGGCCTAAAGTAGCTGGAAATTCATGAGCTTCTTTAGGGCTAGGAGGCCCTATGAAAACTACGAGTAATAGCCGCTAATAAGCGTTAACAAAGCCTTAAGCTCTTGGGTTCGTTAGAGAGGTCAAGCCTTCCTCTGGCGTTGCACTGTCCGCCGCGGGTCGCCACGGAAGTGCCGATAGAGACCTCGGAGAATCGGCGCTGAGAAGACGCGATTGTTGCTATTGCGGTGCGTGCTTCCATCCGGAGTTGAAGATTTCGAGATTTTTTGACTTGGGGCTTAGGGCGTTTAGGGTTTCGGGTTTGGGCCTTAGGGGTTTGGGGTCATGTCTGCAATTGGTCTGTCTGTCTTGTCTGGATCGAGAGGCGGCCGATAACTCCATGGAAGCGGATCTCACTGGGTCTCAGTTGAAGCGCCGCCAGGAAACTCCTTCGCAGAGGTTTCGGGCTTGCTGAAATGGGTCTGTAACCATAACCATAGATAACTATTGCTACCCTACTTGGGCCCCTACTTATCCTCGAGAGCAAGAAGGCTCTAGGCCATTGTGTTACCGGTTGACGCGCAAAGAAGCAGGTGGTGTTGTTCTTGTTACTGCTGCCGATCCTCCTACTAGTACCACACTACGTCACTACGTACTACTGCTGCTATGCCTAGTGCTACAGCTGCGCTCCTCCCAACGACAACAACAACGATTGAGGAGGTCGGGCCCTCTCCTCTCCGCCCCTGCGAGGTCACCCTGACCCAGTAGCGCCCATCCCAGGCCATGGTGGGCGTCAGCACTATCAGGGTTCAAGCAAAGTGCCTTAGTGCCGGGCAAAGCAGAGAAATTGCATAAAACGGTTTAGGGCGTGCTTGCTGGTTCAATACATGCCGAAGCCAACATTAGTCTCAGTAGGGCTTTTTGAAATTGTGATCCGTCAGTCCGCGAAGTCGATATCAGTTGTGCTTAAGATGCTTCCTGAGACTCAACCCTCGTTTCAAAGCCTCAGTCAGACAATGGCGGACGCCACTCCCTCCTTTAGAGAGCTTCCGAATCTGGCCCGCCTCGCCCGATTGCTGCAACGCCCCTGTCCCATCAAGCCCGAACCGCGAGACCTTAAGCCCTGGAGCCTTTAGGGCTTAGGGCTTAGGGTTTAGGGTGCTTGCCAAAGCTGAACAGGAAAACATCCCGGACCCCTGGGTCCTCAAACCAAAAGCTCCTAAACGTCCCTCGAAGTTGCCGAACAAAAGAACAAACTCCAAATTCAACCACCAACCATAAACCCAAAACCCGGAAGCCCTGAACCCCAACCTCCCCTCCGGCCCGAGACTGATCACCTTTACAACCCTCTTCTCGCCCCACATAGCAGGTTGGGCCTCTGAACCCCTCAGAAGACCTCAGCTGCCCTCTGAGGCCCAAAGGCCCCACAGCAGCCCGAAAGGAGTAAGGACAATACCATTTCTAGGACAACGGCGACGACTACTAGGAATAATTTCAAGAAGAAACATAGTAATAAGCAGCACAATAGTACTGGTGCTAGGCATAATATTTGTAATCGTGATAAGAGGGATAACCGTCATCATGATGATAGCAAAACGCAACAACACTAATCACAATTATACTCATGCCCAGAATACTGGCAGTTTAACGATAATGACAATACAAACTAGTAACTACAACAATATTAATAGCAATAGCCACAACAAAACTAATCATAAAATAGTAACAACCACAACCCACAACCACGACAACACCTACACTTACTTCTGATAGAAGCAACGAACATGATAGTAAACAGAATTAATACCAACAATGAAACCCCAAACCCTAAACCCCCCCAAAATTCAAAACCCTAAACCCTCAACCCTAAACCCTGGACAGGGTACCTCGCGAAAGTCGCTCTCGGCACCCACAGGCTCGTCTTGCTCAAGCTTCGCCGCGCCCTGCTGGTAAAAGTGCCAGGCCTCCTGTTGCGGTGTCTTGGGCTTGACAAGACAATGAGGGATTTTTATGCGGATGTAGCAAGGCTTTATGGGGTTGACAGAAAAGGGCCCTTAAGAATCAGGAAAAAGGTGTTGGGGTACATTGTAGTATAGTGCTGTAGATTCTTTTAAAAGGGGTACTACGACCAAATTCAAATATCCATAAGGAAGGGTCTTTCGGACATGCATCCATTGGCACTCACTGATATACTAATTTCGCTGTAAGTGTAAACCACTCGTGTACCCTACTTGCCTTGTGCCGCTCCAACACTAGCTGCCAAGACCAGCAAGTTTGGCCCTCCTTCTTGCAACCTGCCTTGAGAGGGATCAATGAAGCTGAGTCCAGAAGAAACAACTGGTAACACTAAAGCCCGCAACCCCAAGCCACTAAATCTCTGATCGGTCTTAGCAAACCCTTCGGACGATTCTTGAGCATTGGCCTCCGCGCGCTTCGCCATAGCATCTCGCACGTCTCGCGCCATTCTCTGATGTGGCCAGTGAGGCGCTGCGGGGGCAGCGACTCGAGGACGGACGCTCGCTGCGGAAGAGCAATTTAGGGCTGTAGGGCTTCAGGGTTCCGGGTGTGGAGCTTGCTCATAATCAAACCCAAACGACCACTGCACGGAATCTACCCGGACCGCCGGCTACTATTATGACCATGACTTCTCGCGACGTTGCGGAACCTTCCACCTACTCAACATGAGCACAAGTTACGATCCAAACAGTTGCGGCAAGCTGTGCGAATGGCCAGGCTCGAGGGCTTGGGGTGTGAGGTCCAGGGTTCTGCCTTGCGCAAAACACGTGCAACTGTCAGTATACCACTTTCATTTCACTGGGAAGCGCGAGGAGCGCGGGACACAAAGCTCTCTCTGTGCACATCACGATTCCGGTCAAGGGTTCACGTGTTCATGGCGTGTTGTGCTTGCGCGCTAGCAAGTAGCAAGTACGATATAATACGATGACCATCACAGACTCATAATAACGCCAGCCAGATAGATAATAATGACAGAGATATCTGAACATTCGATGCGATGTGCGCATCGAACCTAAACCCAATCCACTTCAACCATCAGATTCTAAATTCTCAAATTCGAAAACTCTTAGGAAACCCTAAGCCCTAACTGAACCTAATACGGCAAAGCCTAGGACAGCTCGAAAGCTGCGCCTCATCCATGTTCTCCATCTCCGCCAAGACTCTGATGGCATTTAGCTCGCCTGGACCGGTTTTTGTTGCGGGTCCAAGGGTTTGAAGGCTTAGGGTTTACGAGTTGGGGTTGAGGACTTAGGTTCGAGATTTAGTTTTTAGGCTTCGGAGCTGGGCGCTTCAGTTTTTGGCTTACAGCTTGGAGTTTATTAAAGCTTTTGCATCTCATCCTTAGCCCGACAAGAGCACACAACCCCCCCCCCCCCAACCCTGAATATTTCCTCCCAAGGCCCTGCCTTCTTTCGACTCTCCACCCCAAGGGTTCTGCTGCATTTCCCAGCATCCCAGGGTGAGATCCTGCCAAGTTGGTGGAGGCGGAGGGATTCAGTCAAGAGTTGGGGGGGTGGCTAACGTGAGAACCCTACTGATTCCCGGTCGATCTTCGGGGTTCCGTTCATTCGGCTTGCTAAGCTCCCTGTCTAAATGCTTAAGCAGATAGGTTAATTTTGGGGTCAGGTAACCTTTCAACTCAGCTGCCTTGAAGGCCCTCAAGCTCCAACAGCAGAAGTCATAGTGGTACACGTAGATGTCTTAATACCTCGAATAGGGTTTCAACATGCTTTGAAGAACACTGGCTTCTTTCTTCTACGATTCTACCGTAACCCCGAACGCATATATGCCGCACCCCTAAACCCCTAAACCCTAAACCCTGCTCCGTCCTTGCCCTTGTACTTTGCCGGGTGCCCGCAACCTGGATCCCCCAAGGTGGTAACTTTGACCTTCCCGCGCTTCGGCAACACGTCCCAGGCCTCAAGGATCGGGCTTCATGGGTCCAGAGTCTAGAGTTTAGGATTCTTAGGAGTTAGGGTTTAGAGTCTATAGGGGGTTTAGGGTTTGGAGTCTAGGTTTCTTAACATTCAGGGTGTAGAGTCTAGGATTTAGGGGGGTTTAGGGTTTGGGATTTGGGGCCCAGGTTCTACAGCTACGGGGTTTCGGAGGAAGGGCTCTGAAGCTCCAGGTTTGGCGGGTTACAGACCTTGCTTTGCATTCAAAGGCTTGCGCTTGCGCAAAGGCCGGGGCTCCCCGCTTTTAAGTGATTGTAGGGTTTTTGAGGGCTTGATGGATATGGGTACTTCCGTAAATTAGGGTCCTATGTTGGAGGTCCCCAAAACAGTCACCCTTATAAAAAGCCTAAAGGGGACCCTAACTAGGACCTAATTTAGGCGCAACTACCCATATGATTCTGGTGTCAAGCATTCTCAGCACATCTATGCCCAGCGCAGATCAGTGTTTTGAGTTTGTGAGGTTGGGGATCATTTGGCCGGTGGGCACACGTGCACGAAGAACCTCCGGAACAGCCAGCTCTGTCAGATTCTGTCAGAACTTCTTGAGGTTTCGGCTTCAGGGAGAAGCCCCAAACCCTAAACACAGGCCTCAAACCCAACCAAACCCTAAATGCGTCGAGCTAGGTG